TCTTCCAAAGAAAATGTCCTCAGGTTGTACAATATAATGACAAAGGATCTTCTCCCCCACTGCCTTCACCTCCATTTATTGGTATTCTTCTATGTAATGAAAAAGGCGTTCAAAAACATGTTACTGTAAAATGATTCTTACTCAACCCTGCCTTTCCCAAGTACATCTTTTGCCTTTGGAGTTGTTGAAACTATTAGACAAAATGTTTCCACTGGCAGGCTAAATATTAAGTACATGGCCTGTTTATATTATTGCCGAGCATCATGCCTCAAAGATTGGTCCATGGACCACCCATCCTAGAGTCACAAAGAATGCTTGTTAAAAAGACAGGTTCAGATTCATTGGGCCTATCTGGCTTTACTGAGTCAGAGTTATTGTTGATAATGTCTAGGGATATGCATTTTAAACAAACAACTTAGAAGATTCTGATGCATAAAATTTGAGGTCCATTGGAAGGATGCTTATTTAATGGAGATAGGGTAAGGTATGAAGAACAGCGTTTTAATATGCCAATCCAGTTAATAAGGGAAGCCTTTTCATTTTATTATTTTATTTATTTATTTTTGCAATGGAGTCTTTTCCTGTTGCCCAGGTTTGAGGGCAGTGGTGGGATCTTGGCCCTCTGTAATCTCCACCTCTTAGGTTCAAGCTATCCTCCCTCTTCAGCCTCCCGAGTAGCTGAGATTACAGGAGTGTGCCACCACGCCCAGCGAATTTTTGTATTTTTAGTAGAGATGGGGTTTCACCATGTTGGCCAGACTGGACTCGAACCCAGACCTCAAGTGATCTGCCCGCCTTAGCCTCCTAAAGTGCTGGGATTAGAGCTGTGAGCCACTGCGCCCAACCTGCATTTATTGAGTTGGAGTTATTGATGATAATGTCTAGGGATATGCATTTTAAACAAGCAGCTTGGAAAATCCTGATGCATAAAATTTGAGGTCCACGGGAAGAATGCTTTTTTAAAGGAGATACAGTAGGCTATGAGGGAATAGCATTTTAAGTCATCAATCCAGTGAATTAATAAGGGAAGCCTTTTCATTTTGAAATAAGAAGCAGGACAGAATAATTTTTGAAGCTCCTTCTAGCCTTAAATATTGCAGGGATTTGTTTTTGTTTTAAATTCAGGCTTCTGAGAATGCTCTTCTTTGGTCTTTTAAGGTTATAAGTACTTTTATTGCCAATCTTAATACAAGTATTAATTTTTTAAATCAAATCTTTTTAGGATTTAAAATTTTATAATAGCAATCAAAGGTGGGGTCGAGGACACTGCATTTAGGTTGTTCTTTATTTCTTTAAGATCTTGGCATTTCAAAGTCCATCTGTTGTTGGCTAAGGGGATGCAGAAAGGAGAAGATACTATTAATCCATCAAATGTTACCGTTTGGGTTACTGATTTTCAAAACCTTAGAAATTAACATGAAGTCTTTCATTGCAACCTTCAAGGGATGATCTTAGTAAAGGAAAACATTTTTTGATAGCTGTATAGACTTAGGGCAATAATAATTTTGGGTCAGTTAAAGTCAATACATTTTTCATGAAAGTTATTCTAGCAATAAAAGTCACTATTAAATATTTCTCAAGTTAAGAAAACAGAATATACTTACAGATATTATAAGAATTTCTTAGACCAAGGCCTTATATTTCATCAGAAACATTTGCTTTTTACTTGAAAGACAGTTTAGAGAATGAAAGTAATGCTTTTTGTATTTCTCAGTTATAATCAGACTACAAAAAGCTGTATTTATTTCTTTGTTGTATTAAATCATAATTTGTTGTGTCCAAATCTTTGAGTGACTTTGTCTATCATAATTCTTAGAAAAATCAGAGGATTGTGTGTGTGTGTGTGTGTGTTTAGATATTAGGATTTCATTCTGTCACCAGGCTAGAGTACAGTGGTACAGCCATAATTCACTGCAGCCTCAATCTCCTGCACTCCAGTGCTCTTCCCATCCCAGCCTCCCAAGCAGCTCAGAATGCAGGCATGACACCAGGCTGGGCTAATTAAAAAAAATTTTTTTAGAGATGGGATCTTGCTATGTTGCCCAGGCTGGCTTCAGGCTCCTGGCCTTAAGCAATTATCCTACACAGCCACCTGAGTTACTGGGGTTACATGTGTGAGTGACTGCATCTGGCTGTGTTTATTAAAGAACACAGTAAATGCAAAACAAGTAGTTTTTCTTGAGGATAAACATATAAAATGGAAATAGGAAGAATAACTTGAGGAATACAAGACTCAGATCTTGGATTATTTAATCTTTCAGTGTTTCCTCTTGTTGATTTCAGATAGCCCTTGCTTAATGCTAACAACAGATATCTTTCTTCTTTTTAAAGTTCTACCCAGAAGGCAAAGGGGAGTTTGGCTATTTCCTTTGGACATTTCACCTGAGGCCTGCTATTGAAGGCCCTATTCTGGTTTTTCCTTCAATAATCTAAATATATATTTATGTAATTACAGGAGATCAGGCAGGTAATATCAATGCAGGAAACAGGCACACAACTTTACCCACCTCTGTTGTTCTGTGTCTCTCTTTCCACTTGAAAGAGTGTGAGAAGGTGATTGTTGGACCAACAATAAATGTCACTCAGAGAGTGTGCTTCCATATGGCAGCATAACACAGGTAACATAATATATGCCCATTCACAAAAAAAGAAGTTGATGCAAAATGTATAGAATTTAATATTTCTTTAACACAGTTTAAAAATTACAATAGGATATGAAAAGCAGCGTTGCAGTTTGGGATAAATTTCTGTAAGGAATGCTATGTTAATGCACAAATGTCTCTAAATTTTAGTATTATAACTGTTAAAAGAAATATTTAGATAAATTAAATTTACCAAAGTTTGAGTACATACACACAAACATTACTTGAATTGGACAAACCTCGGAACTACAAGTTCACAGAGCTCTTCCTGCCCAGCAACCTGAGCAATGAGCTTTTATAGGATGGACACAAAAGCAAAGTAGAGAAATCATTCTATTAGCTACAGCTAGGCATTTGCCTTATTTGGGCATGGTGTAATGATTTGCCTGTCTGTGATTGGCTGAAACTTAGCTGTTTGTTAAATGTTCCCATTTGTTTAAATACTACATTAGGTTGAGGTTTGCTGCACAGGAATGCAAGGTATGGAGGCAGCTTCAGGCCAAATTTTTGTTTTTACAAAATAATATATATATTTTTATTGTACTTTAGGTTCTGGGGTACATGTGCAGATCATGCAGGATTGTTGCCTGGCAAGGTGGTTTGCTGCCTCCATCCCCCCCTCACCTATATGTGGCATTTCTCCCCATGTTATCCTTCCCCATCCTCCCCATCTCCTGCTGTCCCTCCCCTACCCCCCACAACAGACCCCAGTGTGTGATGCTCCCCTCCCTGTGTCCACATGTTCTCATTGTTCAACACCCACCTATGAGTAAGAACATGCAGTGTTTGATTTTCTGTTCTTGTGTCAGTTTGCTGAGAATGATGGTTTCCAGATTCATCCATGTCCCTACAAAGGACACAAACTCATCTTCTTTATGGCTGCATAGTATTCCATAGGGTATATGTGCCACATTTTCCTTGTCCAGTCTATCATCGATGGGCATTTGGGTTGGTTCCAGCTCTTTGCTATTGTAAACAGTGCTGCAATGAACATACATGTGCATGCGTCCTTATAATAGAATGATTTATAATCCTTTGGGTATATACTCAGTAATGGGATTGCTGGGTCAAATGGAATTTCTATTTCAAGGTCCTTGAGGAATCGCCACACTGTCTTTCTTCCACAATGGTTGAACTAATTTACACTCCCACCAACTGTGTAAAAGTGTTCTTATTCCTCCACATCCTCTCCAGCATCTGTTGTCTCTAGCTTTTTTGATGATCACCATTCTAACTGGCGTGAAATGGTCTCTCAATGTGGTTTTGATTTGCATTTCTCTAATGACCAGTGATGATGAGCATTTTTTCATATGTTCAGGCCAAATTTAAGTTAATTTAATGATGTCCCCCTTTTAGTCAGTCTCTCAGAATTGGGCATTGATGCCACCACTCTCTGTCACCATCATCATGGACTTGTTTGGTCTTGGTGTGAAATACATAATTCACAGCATCAGGCTAGTTGAATGATTCCTTATGTTCTCTTTGTGTGTTTGTTACAGTAGTGAGACCACTTGATGTACAACAGATGGCTGCATATGAGCATTTAAGACCCTTGAGAAAATATAGCACACCAGGGAGACTATTCTGATGGTTATCAGGAGGATAATACTAAGATAGGAAGTGTATTCCTCTAACAGAGGCCACTATGAACCAAAACAGTTGGAATAAAATCTATCAAAAAATGAGCCAGAAGAAGAATCTGCTTGTTTTAACCAAGTAGCTTGTTTGTTGATTTTTTAAAACTAAGTGTCTACTGTATCAGACATGTTTATCAAAGTGCATCATGAGGTATTAGCATACACATTCCCCTGTTCAGCCAACAGGTAATCCAAAGCAGTCTAAAACAATGTTAGCAAGAGAATTTATGAAGGCTTCCGAGCAATGATAGCCTTTGCAGTAGAGTTCGCTGTGGTAGCTAATATCTGAGATAAATTTCTAATTATAGCTCTATATACATTTATGCCAAGCCAAGGAAGAAACATTCAACAAAAGATAACCATTTAGAGTGATTTAAGCCTGCCAGAAAATTCGTCTTTATTTATTTATTTATTTTTTTGGAGTTGGAGTCTTGCTCTGTAGGCCAGGCTGGAATGCAGTGGCATGATCCTGGCTCACCGCAACCTCCACCTCCTGGGTCCCAGTTTAAGCAATTCTCCTACCTCAGCCTCTCAAGTAGCTGGGATTACAGGCACAAGCCTCCATGCTAAGCTAATTTTTGTACTTTTTAGTAGAGACGGGGTTTCACCATGTTGGCCAGTCTGGTCTTGAACTCCTGACCTCGTGATTCACCCGCCTTAGCCTCCCAAATTGCTGGGATTACAGGTGTGAGCCACCGCGCCAAGCCTATTATTTTTATTTTTAAATGTGGAACACTTCATGAATTTGCATGGTCAGTTTTGCACAGAGGCCATTCTAGCCTCCTCTGTATTGTTCCAATTTTAGTATATGTGCTGCCAAAGCAAGCACAATTTCTCAGTCCATGGCACAAATTAAGAGAAATAGATCAGTGTTCAGTTTCCAGTTGCTTATGAAGCGACAGTGGTACTTTTAGAATCTCTGATCCACATTGGCCCCTTATTTTCCACTTGAGACAAGGAGTTGTTCACACAGATGGTTGATCATTAAATTCTCCATAGATAAAAATATATCCTGGAGGGGCACAGAGTTTCTTGTGTGATACCTTGTGTGTTACAAATTACCAGTTGAGAAGCACTGGTAATATTTATCCAAGGGTCCATTATTGAATCACTGTATGTTAGATAACTTCTGAAAATTAAGGGATTAGGGTTACAAAGTTGTCTACAAACTGTCAAATTATCTTTTTTTGGTTTTCTTAGTTTCTGGCATAATTTAACTGCAAAACCCTTAATATAGGTTTTTCCTATTGTTAGATTTAAACAAGAGTCTGAATATATGAATCTAAAAACCTAATCCTATGGAAAGGACCAGATGTGCAATTTGAACAAATAGTCACACTTGGGATATTAGTGAAATTTGTTACATGGTGAACTAGAATATCTCTAAGACCATACAGGGATTTAGGTTTAACATGACATAGTCAACATTCGGTTGAGCTCCCTACAAAAGCTGCCAATTATGAAATCTTAATTATCACATTATCTTGCCATTTATAAACCAAAAAGAAACATAAAGAGAAGAGGAAAGGGAACAAAGAGTCCATAGTGACAGAGGAGAACAGTCTTGACCTGTGATCTTGGGAAAGCTGTCCACATCTTGGATGCCATTTGCTTCTAGAGAAAAATTTCCCTGGTCAACTTTACCTTGAGATCTCCAGTGGATTTACAGTCCCAAGAGTCTGGAAGGGCTCTCTTGAGTTGAGATATAGGGATCCAAGGCTTGAGGCCCTGAAATTTTTCTATAGTGTGGGTTGTGGGAAGAACTTGGCATGGTCCCTTTCAGTGGGGCTCAAGGGTAGTCTTTCTCTGGTGTTGCTTCCAAAGGACCCATGCAGCGGATTCTAGATCATGAAAGATCTAGTTGTCACCAGCTGGTGGGTCACAAAGGGTTTCTTTTACCTTCTTTAGCATAATGCATTAAAATCTTGCAATATTGAGTCATGTCAGAAGTTACAAAAGTGTGTAATTTGTGAGGTTCTCTTATTAGGGCCATATACCCGCCAGTAACTATTTTATAAGGGGTGACTCTGTGTTTTCCAAGGGGAGTGGATCTGACTGCCATCAATCAGTAATACCTTTGAACAAGGTATTTCAGTCCATTCAGTTAGCATTGCCTAATGCTATTATGCTCGTAATGCCTTATTTAACTGCTTTATAACTTGTCTAGTGAAATGAGCACTTCTACCACTGGAGATTTCTCCAGGAATATTCCATAAAGCAAACACATTTCATGAGAAACTTTTAGCTACTGTTTTATCAGCAGCCTTCCTGCATGATGGGAAACATCTGGAAAATATTCATTGAGGGTAGGAATTGAGTGATATCCATCTGTGAGTATTCAAATGATCCAGCAGGTGCTGGAAATGTACCATCTGAGTATTTTATTGTCTTGTCAAAATTATAGGTTTGACAAATCAGTCATTGGTTATAAACCATTCTAGCAATTTTAGCACAGAGAGCCTGCCAATATTTTAAAAAATAATTTGGATTATTTCATCTCTCCTATTATGAGTTAAGGAGTACAGAGCTTTTAACAATTAAAGCTTTAAGAACTCAGGAAGGACCAACCAACTGTGTCCATTAGCCCACACTTAATGCTGAATTTACATCCTTTTAAATACCAGTTGGTTTCTCAAATTTAGGCACATAGCACTGTTTATGAAATAAATCATCATAGGTAATTTGACTTGGATCAATCTTATGGAGTTCATTCAAATTTTATATTTTAACAATTTCAGTTCTGGCTGACTTAGTATGAAAACCTGCCAAAGCATTTCCTTGGCAACCAATTAATTTATGTTCTGCTTTATGTGGGGTTAGTGGTTTTATGAACTAATCAATTTATTAGAGTTCTGGAAATTCTTATCTAATCCAATTGTATGATCTTAAGGTTATCAGAAACCTATTTTGTCAGAGTTCTTTCCATGAATCCCCTCAAAGCTGAAAAATTGAGGTTTGTAGTTGTTTTCAATAGCTTTCAGGAAAGTACCAAAGTAAAATGATTAGCTGTCTTTGGATGACAAGACTTTAAATGATAATGGTTAAATGTCTGATGAAAATTAATTATAATGCAATTAACAAGAACATTTTGTTTCCTTTTCTGTAAGTACAGTATTTTAAAATAATTAAAATTATGAGTGATAGTGTTCTATCAAGACTACCAAGTTTCTGGGAATTTCATATAATTTCTGGAAAGCATATTAGTAATGTACCCATGCAGTGTAACTTAAAGATACTTTAGCAACACTTATTATTTGACAATGCTTCCCATGCAATTTAACACATCAAATAAGGCTAGTTTAACACCTCTTTTTTTTATGGGAAGAGAGGGAAAAATTTCTTTGAGAAATTCCAGAGGTCAGTTTGGAAACTTCCAAAGTTGGTTTGAGGTCGAAAGGCCTTAATTTAGTGTTTGATTCTGAGAAGTTGTTAAAAAGTGTCAAAAGGTTTAAAATAATTAACATAGGATCATAGGTCACTGGGAACAATAGTCATTTAAGCAGCGTGATAATTAAAATACTTCAAAGAAAGTTACATAATTATAGAAAAAACTTAGCTTTTTAAATAAAGAGAACTGTTTTCTTGAGTGATCTAAAACTAAGACGACATGAAACACAGGAAATTGTCTTTTTTAAAAAATTGACTTTTATTTTTGTTACAGAGGGTACATGTGGGGGTTTGTTACCCAGGTAGCAAACATAGTACCCAATAGGTATATTGGAGGTATATTGCACCCATGTAGCGAACATAGTACCCAATAGGTAGTTTTTCAACTCACATCCCCCTTCTTCCCTCCTCTGTCTAGTATTCGGCAGCGTCTATTGCTCCTATGTTCATGTCTGTGTGCTCAGTGTTTAGCTCCCAGTAATAACATGTGATACTTGGTTTTCTGTTCCTGTATGGGTTTGCTTAGGATTATGACCTCCAGCTTCATCCATGTTGCTGCAGAGGACATAATTCCATTCCGTTTTTATGGGTGTGGAGTATTCCATGGTGTATATATCATATTTGCTTTATCCAGTCAGTGATTGGTGGGCACCTAAATTGACCCCATGTCTTTGTTGTTGTGAATAGTGTGGGGATGAACATTATGCATGCATATGTCTTTTTGGTGGAATGATCTATTTTCCTTTGGGAATATTCACAGCAGTGAGATTTCTGGGTTGAATGATAGCTGTTTTGAGCTCTTTGAGGAACCTCCAAACTGCTTTCCACAGTGGCTAAACTAATTTACATTCTCATCAACACTAGACAAACATTTCCTTTTCTCCACAGCCTTGCCATTATGTGTTGTTTTTTGACTTTTTAAAAATGGTAATTCTGACTGGTAGGAGATGGTAACTCATTGTGGTTTTGATTTGCATTTCTCCGATGATTAGTGATAATGAACATTTTTTCATAGGTTTTTTGGCCACTTGTATAACTTCTTTTGAGGTGTGCCTGTTCATGTCCTTTGCCCACTTTTTAATTTTTTTTTCCTTTCTTGTTGATTTGTTTAACTTCTTTATAGATTCTGGACATTAAACCTTTGTTGGTTGCATACTTAGTGAATATTTTATCCCATTCTGTAGGTCATTTGTTTACTCTGTTGATAGTTCCTTTGGCTGTGCAGATGCTCTTTAGTTTAATTAGGTCCCACTTGTTAATTTTGTTTTAGTTGCAACTGCTTTTGGGAACTAAGCCAAAAATTCTTTGCTAAGACCAATGTCAAGAAGGGCATTTCTTAGGTTTTCTTCTAGAATTTTTAGAGCTTGATGATTTACATTTAAATCTTTGATCAGTCTTGAGTTAATTTTTGTATGTGGTGAAAAGTAAGGGTCCAGTTTCAGTCTTCTGCATATGGCCAGCCATTTATCCCACGACCGTTTATTGACCGTGGCTTTATTTCTGAGTTCTCTGTTCTGTTCTATTGGTTTGTGTGTCTGTTTTTGTACCAGTATCATGCTTTTTGGTTACTATAGCTTTATAATACAGTTTGAAGTCAGGTAGTATGATGCCTCCAGCTTTGTTCTTTTTCTTGGGATTGCCTTTGGCTATTCAGGCTCTTTTTTGGTTCCATGTGAATTTTAGAGTAGTTTTTTAAAATTCTGCGAAGAATGATGTTGGTAGTTTGATAGGAATAGTGTTGAATCTGTAGATTGCTTAGGGCAGTATGGCTATTTTAACAATATTGATTCTTCTAATCCATATGCATGAAATGTTTTTCCATGTATTAGTGTCATCACTGATTTCTTTCAGCAGCGTTTTATATGTCTTGTTGTAGAGATCTTTAACCTCTATGGTTAGCTCTATTCCTGGGCATTTTGTTTTCTTTGTGGCTATTTTAAATGGGATTGTGCTCTTGATTTGACTGTCAACCTGGACATTATAGGTGTATAGAAATGCTGCTGATTTTTGTACATTGATTTTGTATCCTGAAACAACTAAAGTTGTTGATCATTTCTAATAGTCTTTTGGTGGAGTCTTTAGGGTGTTTTAGGTATAGAATCATATTGTCAGCAAAGAGAGATAGTTGACTTCTTTTTGGATGCCTTTTATTTCTTTCTGTTGCCCAATTGCTTGGCTAGTACTATGCTGAATAGGAGTGGTGAGAGTGGGCACCCTCATCTTGTTCCAGTTCTCAAGGGGAATGGTTCTGATTTTTGTCACTCAGTATGATGTTGGCTGAGGGTTCTTCATAGATGGCTCTTAGGATTTTGAGGTATATTCCTTTAATGCCTAGTCTTTTGATGGTTTTTATCAAGGATGTTGGATTTTCTTAAAACCATTTTCTGCATTTATTGAGATGATCATATGGGTTTTGCTTTTAATTTTGTTTATGTGGTAAGT